TCCCACTAGTTCGAATTAAGGGGCTACACAGCCCTTAATTCGAACTAGCTAATTCGAACTAGGCGTTAGTCCTCGTAGAATGAGGTTTACCTAGTTCGAATTAAGTGCTCCGCTAGTTCAAATTAAGTTCGAACTAGCGGTTTGTATGTGTAGCATACATCTGTTAGTTCAAATTAACTTTGTAGTGTAGACATACCCCCAGAGACTCTCAACACTTCCGTCTCCTATGTCCATCTCCACCTCACTCCAAGTGGGTTCATTTTTAATATATAAGGGAACACCTCCTCCCTTTTTTCCCTGTCTATCCTTCCTGAGCAAGCTGGACCCTTCCATACAAACATTCCAATCATGTGTATTATCCCACCAAGTTTCTGTGATGCCAACAATGTCATACTTGTACTTATTTATTAGCACTTCCAGTTCTTCCTGCTTATTACCCATACTTCTCGCATTTGTATATAGGTATCTAAGATCCTGATTTGATCTTGCCTCCCAGTTTTGCCCTAACCCTGCTTTCTCTCTGCCATTATAGCCCACGCTCCCTCCCATTTCCGACCCATCTCCCAGGTCTCCATGTTCTCCACTTACCTGTGGGCTTTGCTCACCTGTCCCCATTTAACCTAGTTTAAAGCCTCCTCACTAGGTTAGTCAGTCTGTGTCCAAATAGGGTCTTCCCCTCCTCGAAAGGTGAACGCCATCTCTGCCCAGCAGTCCTTCCTGGAATAGCATCCTGTGATCGAGGAAGCCAAAGCCGTACTGGCGACACCATCCTCGCAGCCAGGCATTCACCTCCAGGATGCAGCTGTCTCTGCCCGGGCCCCTACCTTTGACAGGAAGGATCGAAGAGAATACCACCTGTGCTCCAAACTCCTTCACCGGAACTCCCAGAGCCCTGTAGTCACTCTTGATCCGCTCAGTATCACACCTGGCAGTTTCATTAGTTCCCCATGGATGAGTAGCATGGGGTAGTAGTCAGAGGGCCGGATAATCCTTGACAATGCCTCCGTAACATCTCGGATCCGGGCCTCTGGCAGACAGCACCTCCCGAGATGAAATGTCAGGGCGACAGATGGGCGCCTCCGTCCCCCTCAGAAGAGAGTCTCCAACCACCTCTACCCTACATTTCCTATTCACAGGAGTCTCTGGGTCCTTAGATTCCCAGTCTCTCTCCTTCATGATTCCAGCCAGAAAACTGACGCTTCCCCCAACACTCCCTTCTTTTGTTCCATCCTTCCCGTAACCAGTAGAACCAGTTCGGTTACTGTCATGGGGGCCCTCAAGACGCCCCCCGCTGGACAGTGCTTACAGACAGAGGCCAGTAGGGGTCACCCACAGCCCACAGCCCATGCACAGCAACCAGCAAGGTCCTGGCACTACATCACACCTGGGGAAAGCTGCTATCTATAGCACCAGGAGGAGGGTGCTGGACCGGGGGGCCTAATTCCACTTCTCCCTAGTCTCACTCATTGGGGCAGAGTTCCACTGGCGGCATCCACTGGCTCCGTGAACAGCTTCAGGGAGCGGTGGGCGCTGTCCATTGTTCTCTGCTCGGTGCCCCCATCCGGTTCCCTCATTTTAACTTATGACCCTGACCCTCTTTTTCATCATTTATCCCCTGTAGCCTGTTGAGTCCTGGATCCAGTGGTCCCTCCCACAAGGCTAGGGAGTGGATTCAAATAGTGCTGTGAGGGGTGACAGGGCAGACGTGTGGATCCCTCCCCCCAGTCCAACTGCCCACCCTTCTACTGCCGCCATCCCCTCCACCAACCCTCTTTTACCACCAGGACCTACTCTCCCCCCTTGCTGGGGCAAGCTGCTGCACCCCCACCTTTTTCCACTTGGGACTGCAGCGGGCGAGACACTTGTGGACACCCCCCCCCTCCTGTATTTGCCCATCTTGACCAGGAAGCATGGTGTCCGCTTTCCTCAAGGCTGCTGCCCAGGAGACATGGAGAGGGGCCTGGCGGCAGGGGGCATGCACATCCTCTGAAGCCGCTAGAGGACTTGGGCGTAGGGGTGGTCCTAGCCTCTGTCCCTCCCCAGTGTTGCCCTCCTGCCTGTCTTCCCCTCCCTGCTGAAACCCATATCTACCATAAGCCCTCTCCATCGTCTGTAAGGACCCTGCCCTCCATGTCATCCTGTCCCGTTGCCAGCAGCTGTAGCTGCAAATGCTACTGGCAGTGTATGGTGAGGTGGCTTAAGGATTCCTTCCAGGTGCCCTACTAGGAGGCCTTTACTGGGTCCAGTGCGCCCTCTGCCAGGAAACATCAAGGCCTTGGGTCTGACCTTGTTTGACCTTTGCCAAAAAGCCTCCATCTGGGCAGTGACTCAGCTGCCTCCTCCTCTCTGTCCCTCATGCCCAGGCAGCCGCCCCCACCCTCACCCTAAGGGAGGCCCAGATATTCCCCATCAGCCATGCAGCCATATATCACAGAGCCTTGCACAGCAGCCTTACAGCAGCTGTGACCTGGGCAGCAGCACTCAGCTTGTGGTTAAGAGGCACCTCAGGGCTAGGTGGGGGGAGGTGAGGCAGGCACTGAGGGCTCCCGGGGTGGGGCTAGTGCTGGGGGGCTCTAAAAAGTGGGAGGCTGGCACTGGGAGGGCTCTAGGGATGGGGCTAATATTGGGGACTGGCACTGGCGGAGGTCTGGGGGGATTGGGTGCAGTGGGGTTCTGGAAACAGGAAGTTGGCTCTGGGGGGTCTGGTGGTGGTGGGCTCTAAGGGGCGGTGGGCTGGTACTTAGGCATTTGTGCTGTTTAAAAAACAGCTCTCTTTGTGGACCAGCTGCTTGCTGCCCCACGCTTCTGCCTCTATATCACAGGCAGCAGCATGGGGTGGCAACAGCCCCTGTCTGCAGGAGTTCAAGCTCCCTGCCCACCCTACGCTACTGCTTCTGATACAGGGAGGGGCAGGCAGCACTGTAGAGCACCGCTGCGGGGGAGGGAAGATTAATTGATAAGCCCAGGCGTATTGGTTAATTGAATATTCCACTACTCACTCACATGCCTAATCAGTACTAGAAGACACAACTTAGCTTGCAATGCAGACATTGTCTAATCAAGAGAAATAGGATGAAATAGAAGCCTACAGAGCTGATAAGCAAATCATTCTAAGTCATACTTCTATTCTTATACAAATACTAAAATACATTTTGGTTACATCTGTACCTCTGAGGGTAGGTATTAGGTGTTTCCTTACAGTGCTTTCATTTCAATTCTTCTCTGAGGAATCCTGCTGTGTGCTTGGCTTTATTTGCCTCAGTTCTGAGCATCCCTTTTTAACCGCCTGCTTTCTTCCAAAGAGAGTGTGTTACAGAACTTATCCTTCTACTGCTAATGAGGAGGCCTATTCACAGTCTTCTTCAAATTCACCCAACTCCAAGGCACACGAGTGGGGTGTCACTGCAAATTAGTGACACCATAATGCATGGACTGAAGGTCACCCAGTGGGCTAAATAATGTGGCCATCTTGCTTTGCCATCCACATATTTCTTTCTCCTCCACCTGTTTTCCAATTAAGTCCCTTTCTTACCAGTTCTCCTTTTACTTCTTCAGGGAAAAAGTTTCTGTTTTTCCTTCTGGTGTCTTCTTCTTTGCCTCTATTTTGAAGGATTTTATTTCCTTATTGTGAAAAACAAGTGATCAGCACTACTACATAATGCTTCCGTCAGTCAAACCCACATTGTGCTTGGTGCTTCCTCTCTACCACCATTCAACCAAAGATCTCAAAGCACTTTGCCAACATGAAGAAATATAACCTTGTCATGGCTCCTTCCCCACTCTGGCATGATAAATGCAGAAGTGGGGGCCAGCAAGTGTACCCCAAAGCCTTAGCTACCAGGCTTTGGTATAAAACTTCCCCCCAAGATCGTAAAACCCTAGATCTTGGGAATAAAACTTCCGCTGCCACCACCCAAATGTTGATAAAGAAATCAGGGGAAAGATCATTTGGGAAATCTTACCCCTAAAATAAAAATCAAGGCACACAATTAACCACTGCCAGGTTAATAAAAGAAAAGAAAGAACTTTTATTATTACAACAATATTCCTGTTGCAAACATAATGACTAGATAGGGAGGTAATAAAATATACTCATGGAGAAACTCCATGGGCCTAGAACTTAGTTATAAAGAAAAGCCAAAATATCTTTTAAGCAGTGCCAGATCTCAGATCCCATACCCAATCCTTAAAACAATAAAACCTAACGAAACTACCTAAACTTTACCCTACTTACAGAAAATGAAGAATGGTGTCTTGGAGAGAGAGAGAGAGAGAGACATGCTTGTCCCTCTCTGTAGCTGCAGAGAATTCCCCCAGAGAGACAAAAAGGCGAAAAGACAAAAAACCAAATTCCTTTGTCCCAGTTTGAAAAGTCCCACCTACATTCCTATAGGTCACTCCACCTGGCTAGGTGTAGTTAACCCTTTAATCCCCAGGCTTCTGGCTAACCCTCATAATCATGACAAACCTCACAGAGAAGTGGGTCTTTGCCCACGAAAGCTTATGCTCCTACACTTCAGTTAGTCTATAAGGTGCCACAGGACTCCTCGTCGCTTTTGCAGATTCAGACTAACACGGCTACCTCTCTGATATTTTAAACCTCACAGAGTAGATTATTATTCATCCCCATTTTACAGAAGCAAAAGACCAGGGCTTGATTTTCATAAGCAATGACCTCTCCCAACTGTCCATTTTTAGAAAGACTTAGGCTCCCAACTGGGATTTTTAGAAAGATTTCCCATGATAATAATTCTCTGCTGTATCACTAGTACTGCCCACCTGTAGGGGTTCTACTCCCCATCAACTTCCATAAAGACAAAAGCCCTTGTCAAGGCTGTTCCCCACTCTGGTACTATGAATGCAGAAGTGGGGGCCCACAAGAGTGCTCCAAAACCTTGCCTTTACAGGCGCTGGTTACAAAAACTTCCCCTCAAAATCCCAATGCCCAGATTTGGGGAATTTCACTGCTACCATCAAGTGCTTTTGATCCCCCAAAATGGAAACAAAACAAGCAAACAGGGATGGACACTTGAAACCAATCCCAGGGTACCCCACACTCTTTTCCCTCAAAAGAGCTTGAAAAAGAAAAGAGAAAAACAAGCTGCAGTCTCTGGTAGAGGACTCCTCAGTTGGAGGCATGCAGGCAGATCTCCCAGGACACAAGAATCGGACAGGGGACTGCAGACAGGGGAGTTGAAGAGGGAGTTGAGCAGAGGGAGTGACTGATGGTGATGAAGACCCGAAGCGCTTGTGCCAGTACTTCTCCTGTCTCCTCCACCTGTGCCTGTATCCAGACAGAGAACCTGAGCATGGATGCCTCTACCCAGGTCCTGGTGTGGTCTTGCTGTATTTGTGGCTTGCAATTCCCACTGAGTGATCTCCAGGCTGGGGGAGACAACCGTTGTGAAAGGTGCCTGCTGGTGGAATCTCTCAGGCAGCAGGTGGGAGAGCTACAGGAGGAGGTGGCCAGGCTGAGGAGCATTCGAAGCCATGAGGAATTCCTGGACAGTATTCCTGTGGAGTCCACGGAGGTCACTGTCCTAGGATGTGGGACTGTTGACCA